TAACTGGCAGTAATACACACAGCGAATCTATGGCTTTAATCACCAGAATACCCGATAGCGGTGTATTATAGTGCTACCGATGGCACCTGAATCTGCTCCGTGACCTGCCAGCGGGCATTCGACACTTCACGTTGCCTGAAAGTGCACATAGCCTGGCACAAGCGCCGTGGTGTCGTCACCGCCACTTAGTGGCGAATTTCGGTTGTTGTTTTTGTTCCGGCGTTTCAGCTGTTATAAAAAGCAATATGTTTTTGAGAGGGTCTCAAAATCCGAAGGCCCCAAAAGCCTCTGCATTAACCAGGGGCCTACGAGACATTGGTGGATTCAAGGTGGGATGATTGCCTTTCCTAACCCCATATAGACCCTAAAAGTTGGTATTTGATTAAATGTAATATTACACTGGTCAACACACTTTTTCTGGCATAAGGTATTCCAACGGTTTTAATGTAATTTCGGGGTGCCGATTCCAAATCTGGCATCAGTTTTTGTCTATCACATCAGGTTTTTGAGATATCAAATTTTGCATTTTTAATAAAAACTGCAGAAGAAAAATATTAAATAAATGTGGATATCTACATAAAATGATATTATAAACACACTATCCTAAAACACAGCACCATATTTTAACACTAAAGCAGTCACTGACTCGCAACAACTTGCAATCATAAGTGACAGAGTTAATTTCGGGTAAAATCAATTAAAATGGAGTATGCCGATAGCATAAACATGAGATGTGATAGAGCAAATCTGAGATCAGATTTGGAATCAGCACCCTGAAATTAGTCTAGAACAGCTGCAAAATTCCAGGCCAGAATTATTTTTTGTTGACCAGTGTTATCGAAGATTTATAACGCTCGCAAAATTCGTACGGCGAGTCGCTGGCAGCTGTTTTTATTATTAATCTAGGGCCCTATTTTAAAAAGTCTCAGATAACAAATGTTTATACACGTACAAAAATATAATGCGTGACTAATCTGCACGTGCCCGCGTTATGTTTCTCCGCACAAAGCCCCTTCGACTGTCCCAATGAGCGAGAGGTCAAGTGAAAGTTTATGATCAAAATCAAGATTAAATCAAGATCAAAATCAAGTTTCGAGTTGAAGTTTTTACACAGTTTTAGGAAGGCGAGAGGATGAGAGGTCAACGAGACCTCGTTTGCGAGCGTGGCACGGGAGGGGGGGCCACAAAAACGGCCAAATGGCAAAACAAATAAAGTTTCGATATGGCAGTGAAGCAAATATAAACCAGTGCAAAAAAACAACTAGTCACGGCAGTAATCAAAAAAATATTGCACAAACGGAAGTCAATGTTAAATCATAAATTCCCCGTAGCCTAAGTCGTATCGGGCAGATTATAATTGATTTGAAGCTTTCGTGACTGCAGGAATTCATACTCTTTGGTTCTTTCGGTAAAGTCAAGTAGGTATAAAATAAAATAAATCACGACGTTTCGGGCGCAACACAAGCGTCCGTCATCAGGTGAGAAAGCATGATCTGCTGCTGAAGCAGACTGTTTTAAAAGGTTTGAAATAGTTGTAGCCCAATAGTAATAAAGTAATGGGCGGGGCTAGTGATGTTGATGTGAGAAATTAGCATGTAAATGTAAGAACGGAGAGTGGTGCAATCCAAAGGCATGAGAGTGCAATCCAAAGGACATGTGAGCATGAGAGTGCATTCCAAAGGCATGAGAGTGCAATGCAAAGGACATGTGAGCATGAGAGATCTACGAAAGAGGCATAAAGAGAGAGAGACAGAGAATCGGAAATAACAGCTGACATAGGCAGGTAGGATGGAAACATCACAGTCAGTTAAGACTTTACCTGGTTAATAACATCCTTACAATGATTGCTCAGTTTGTACCCATCTTCTCGGTTGAAGTTGTGTCTGTGTTTATATATCTGGATGGCTTCATGAACAAATCTCTGAAGGTAGCCAGTAGGTTTGCAGATTATCTCCATCTTGGAAAAATCAATTTCCTGTGAGCCCACAGCGTTAAAACAATGATCAGCAACGGCAGAGGTATTGGTCCTACCGTGTTTCAATCTGCCTTGTGTTCACGAACGCGGTCTGAGACATGTCGTTTCGTTTCCCCAATGTAACTGCTGCCGCATCCACAACTCAGTTTGTAGACACCAGGGTATTGCATTTCAGGAATCACATCCTTTAAATCACGGATTTTGTGTACTGTGTTGAAACTAACCTGGATCTTGTGTTTGTTTAAGGTTTTGGAAATATTTTTGGTAACCCCTGCTATGTATGGTAAAGTGATTGTTTTGGTTGGATCCTCAAAAAGTTGTCTCCATGGCTGGTGAGACAGCTTTGTGGATTGTACGGTCCGAGTATCTGTTCATCCTAAGGGCTTGGTGTACATGCTCCAACTCACTGGCTAGGTGGTGCTGGTCGGAGATGCAACAGGCCCTATGGTGTAGTGTTTTGATGAGGGAATTCTTCTGGGCTGGATGGTAGTGGGAGTTAGGCTTTAGATAGGTATCCGTGTGGGTGGCTTTCCTGTAGACCGAGTGTCCCAACAAGCCATCAAGTCTCTTCTCGATCAAAACATCCAGGAATGGTAGCTTGCCATCCTTTTCCACTTCCATGGTGAATTTGATAGACGGGTGTCTGGAATTGATGTGGTTGAGAAATTGGTTCAGTGCTGGCAGGCCATGTGGCCAGATGGCGACCCTGTCATCTATGTATCTCTTCCACAAGGAAGGATGTAGGGTGGATGTCTGGATGGCATTTGTCTCAAATTTCTCCATGCAAACATTCGCTACCACTGGCGATAAGAGAGAACCCATTGGGGTACCCTCATTTTGTTTGTAGATGTACCATTCTAGGTGAAGTATGTGTGGATAAGGCAGTGCCTTACCAAAGTTGGTACATCAGTCCTTGTTGGACCTAGTCTTCAATGATTGCAATGGTGTCCGGTACAGGTACATTGGTGAACAGAGAGACTACATCGAAACCGACAAGCAAATCATCTGGAGAAAGTGAGATGTCCTTGATTAGAGAAACCAAGTGAGCTGAGTTAAGTACAGCTGAGGTGGACTTGCCCGTGAAAGGAAGCAGGGCCTCAGACAGAAATCGGGCCAGTTTGTAGATGGGTGAGTTAATGGTGGAGACGATAGGACGGTGGTGTACTATCGACGAATTGGCACGTTCTGTTTACGTGACAACCCTTACTAGTAGTTGGCTGTGTCGGGTGGTGGCGGGTTTTAACGACACACCATTTATATATTTACACGATCTAACCCAACAAAACCTCTATTATGAACCTATGTCACTGTTAACCGAAGGACGACTCTGTGCGTTGAACTTCTATCACGCTGTACGTAGCCCACCGTGCTAATCGGAGGTGCGGGCGAAGGACGAGAAACACAAAACACTCAGATGTCGCTGTGAGACTTCCTTCCCGCGGGGTGGGCACCACGGAGTAGCCGTACACCAGAGGTCGCAAACGGGTTTTGATTCCTTACCCGTACCCAGCCGCACCAGGGTCGCAAACGGGTACCCGTACCCAGCTGGGTACGGGTACGCTACCCGTACCCGTACCCAATGAGTGACAAACGGTTACTCACCGGTGACTCACGGCCTACCCGTACCCGTACCCGGCCACACCAGGGTCGCAAACAGGTACCCGTACTCGTACCCGGCCGGGTACAGGTAGCCGGGTATCGGGTAGGGTACGGGTATCGGGTACCCGGTTGCGACCTCTGCCGTACACCTCGGCTCGCCAGTAAAAGGCAGTGTAGCAAGCCGAGAGTGCAGGCAGATCTCCATCTGTTGCATCTCCCTTCCCATGGCTTTGAGGAGGGTGCCATCCTGTAACCTTGGCTCGTCAGGGGGGTGGTCGAGTGAACTCATCTCCATCTGTTGACATCTTTACGGGGATCGAGTGTTGCCCCCTCGCACGCGTGAGTTTTCTCCGGGTGCTCCGGTTAACCACCCCCCCCTCCCACCTCCCACATCCACACACCTCGAAGCAATGATTCGTTGGCCGATAATACCTCGACACCAGGGACGTGCGGTCAGGGGAGGCAGGGGAGGCAGAGCCTCACCTGTCATATACTCCAATGAAAATAGCTGTTACGAAAAGTAAAAAAAAAGAATAATCAATTAAAATAAATATTACGATTTTTCCCCTGATGTGTGTTATAAATGTCATTTCTATACGATTTATATCGTCAAAATCGCCAAATTTGCGGCGCTCCACTGCAAATACAGGAAGAGACGAGAGGTGAGGCAGCGACGAGCTCAGCCTCCCCTCTGACTGCGCAACCCCTCAGTAACTGGATGGATCGCGGGCAATAAGCGCGTGCCTGTTACTATCTCAGTATGTCACCAATGTAATGTTTGTAGACCCCTTCATTTCATGTCCTCGCCTTCCACACTCCAGGTAACTTATTTCACGTATGTGTATAAATATATTTAGGCTCGCTGGTCTCGTCATGAAACTGCAATGAAAAAGCACCAGGGGAGGCAGCCATCACATCTGCCTCACTGAGGGGGGCGTGTCTAACACGCCGAAGCCTAAGAATCCCACCGGCGCGATGACGTCACGCCTGGGAACGTCCCTCTTTCCCCTCGCGATGACGTCACGACGTCCGGTTTTACGTGATGACGTCACGACATCCGGTTTTACGCGATGACATCACGACGTCCGGTTTACGCGATGACGTCACGCCTGGGAACGTCCTTCTTTTCCCGCGTACCGTGACGTCACGACGTCCGGTTTTACGCGATGACGTCACGACGTCCGGTTTTACGCGATGACATCATGACGTCCGGTTTTACGCGAAGACATCACGACGACCGGTTTTACGCGATGACATCACGACGTCCGGTTTACGCGATGACATCACGACGTCCGGTTTACGCGATGACGTCACGACGTCCGGTTTTACGCGATGACGTCACGACGTCCGGTTTTACGCGATGACATCACGACGTCCGGTTTTACGCGATGACGTCACGACGTCCGGTTTTACGCGATGACGTCACCCCCCACCAGTTTGTCGGCGGTATCGTTGCAGAAATGTGACCGTGCCGTAGCGTCACAGCTAATTTACTTTCGGTAAGAATAATAAACGTGAGTGATATTAACGTTATCGCGATAATAGCAACTCTGACCACCACCCACCCCCCACGGCGAGAAAGGCTGCGGGGAGAGGCGACCGCCGTGGTAAGTTTTGTTCAAACAAAGTTTTGGGCGACTTCTGCAGCCGCGCACATGGTGTTACGAGGGTTCGCTCCCGCCATAGGAACGTGGAATGCACACTCCTGCGGTGTGTTGGTTGTCGGGCACGGGGGTAGGAAATGCGAAGAGGTCCTCGCGAGCATCACCCGGGGCGCAGCGGTTTCATTGATATCGACCCTCGGCCACCCGAGGCCTGGTCCGTATCCGAGACTTTGATCCCCGTGTGAGTCCCTTGGTGTCGATACGAGTCTGTAGGGTTCTGTGCGAGTCTATGGGTCCCTCTGTGAGTCTATGGGTCCCTCTGTGAGTCTATGGGTCCCTTTGTGAGTCTATGGGTCCCTCTGTGAGTCTATGGGTCCCTTTGTGAGTCTATGGGTCCCTTTGTGAGTCTATGGGTCCCTCTGTGAGTCTATGGGTCACTTTGTGAGTCTATGGGTCCCTATGTGAGTCTAGGGGTCCTCTGTGAGTCTATGGGTCCCTCTGTGAGTCTATGGGTCACTTTGTGAGTCTATGGGTCCCTCTGTGAGTCTATGGGTCCCTCTGTGAGTCTATGGGTCCCTCTGTGAGTCTATGGGTCCCTCTGTGAGTCTATGGGTCCCTCTGTGGGTCTATGGGTTCCTCTGTGAGTCTATGGGTTCCTCTGTGAGTCTATGGGTCCCTCTGTGAGTCTATGGGTTCCTCTGTGAGTCTATGTGTCCCTTTGTGAGTCTATGGGTCCCTCTGTGAGTCTATGGGTCCCTCTGTGAGTCTATGGGTTCCTCTGTGAGTCTATGGGTCCTTCTGTGAGTCTATGGGTCCCTTTGTGAGTCTATGGGTCCTTCTGTGAGTCTATGGGTCCCTTTGTGAGTCTATGGGTCCCTCTGTGAGTCTGGGTCCCTATGTGAGTCTATGGGTCCCTGTGTGAGTCTATGGGTCCCTCTGTGAGTCTATGGGTCCCTTTGTGAGTCTATGGGTCCCTATGTGAGTCTAGGGGTCCTCTGTGAGTCTATGGGTCCCTCTGTGAGTCTATGTGTCCCTTTGTGAGTCTATGGGTCCCTCAGTGAGTCTATGGGTCCCTCTGTGAGTCTATGGGTTCCTCTGTGAGTCTATGGGTCCCTCTGTGAGTCTATGGGTTCCTCTGTGAGTTTATGTGTCCCTTTGTGAGTCTATGGGTCCCTTTGTGAGTCTATGTGTCCCTCTGTGAGTCTATGGGTCCCTCTGTGAGTCTGGGTTCTTCTGTGAGTCTATGGGTCCCTTTGTGAGTCTATGGGTCCCAATTTGAATCGGGATCCATGTGATTCTGTTGGTCGGAATTTGAGTCTATGGGTCCCTCTGTGAGTCTGGTTCCCTATGTGAGTCTGTGGGTCTCTATGTGAGTCTATGGAACCCAATGTGAGACTATGGGTCTTTATGCGAGTCTGTGAGTCCCAATGTGAGTCTATGGAACCCAATGTGAGTATGGAACCCAATGTGCCTGGCCCACCAAGCCCTATTTCAATGCCCTATTTGGCCCTCTGTAACGGAATAACTTCAACAGATGAATACATAATATCGTGGCCTTCAAGGAAACAATAGGAGACGTTTCAGGCAACGGCCCTTCATGGAACATGTTAGGCCATACAGCGAAATGGAAAGATGTATGCATCCCTGGTTTCGGGGGTTACGGTGTTAGGTTTGGGGGTACGCGTTTGGCGTTAAGGGGTGTAAGGTGTCAGGGATAGGGAGTTAGAATTAGGGGTCAGATGTTGTGATTGGGTCTTTGGGTTACGGTGTGGGATTGGAAGTTGGGGTTGGGGGGTTAAGGGTTTAAGTTGTCAGGGATAGGGATTTTGGGGTAATGGGTTCGACATCAGAGGTAGGGGTCTGATGTGCATGGTCAACTCATACGGTTTACCATATACTTGTACAGGGAAATTGAGTTTTCAGGTCCATACGGTGTACAGCCGTTTCAATACGGGCAAAATATTTTTTAAACAATTTCTATTTTTTTTGTGTTTCTCCCTTGTGATGGGAATTTGCTGGATGAACGTTATCGCTTTATAAGGGTTACAAGGTGATAAATAAGGTCTGAATTGGTCTGTAATAAGGTAGGCACTGATAAGGGGTTGACAGATATGTAAATTACTCAATTGGACATTGTGAACAAGAGCTGCATAGCTCATCGGATTGCTCCAGTCTAAGTAAAGATTCTGATTCTGAATAGTATCACCGGAACTCACATAATAATGATGAATTCCACAGACTTCGACTAAAACTCCACAGGTTGCCATCGACTAAGACTGACTAAAATATAAAACGCTGACCAAATGAAAACTGAATGGGTGAGCCGGTGAGTGGGTGTGTTGAGTGATTGGATGAGTGTGTGAGTGAATGTGCGAGCGAGTTATTCAGTGGGCAAGTGGGAATTTTAGTGAAGGAGAGAGTGAGTGAGATGGTGAGTGACTAAGTGGGTGGGTGTGTGAGTGATTGAGTGGGTGAGTGGTTGCGCAAGTGAATAGGTGTTTTAGTGAGGGAGAGAATAGGTTAGTGGATGGGTGAAGAATAACAATAATGAAAATGTATAATGCTCATTCCACCATAGGATCCCAATGCGCATGAAAGCAGGAAACAGAACCAGGGGCAACCGACCAAACTAAATAGGGAAGGCCACTTTAAAGAGATGGGTTTTCAAATATCTACCGACTCTTGATTTTCTAATTTCAAGTGGCAAAGCGTTCCATAGTTTGGGTGCCACACTAAATGAGTGATTAAGTTGGGCGAGTGAGTGGACGGATTCATGAGAAGAGGGGGGCGGGCGAGTGAGTGGGTAAAATTTGCGCAGGTTGTCATCAGCCCCACAAACACTTTCGCCGACCCTAAAGCACGCCGGCTCTATTAACGCCGCTCACTGTCTTGAGGCTCAGGAGCCGGCGCCCAGCCTGCGCTTGCGGTTTTGGCGGGCGGACACTGCCCTCGAGTGGCTGGTGCTGCCACGTGCGAGGATGGAGGAGGAGGAGGAGACGCTGGCGCGGCTTGGAGCGCTTGTGCCGGGCCGGGAGGCGGTGCTACGCACCCTGCTGCAGCTCTTCGGACAGGTGTCTCTGCGTCCCGTCGCTCACCCCGCTCGCGATCCGCTGAGCAGATCACTGGGGGGAACTGGCGTCTGTGCCGCGCGCCTGTAATCCTGCACTGGAGGTAGCGAGGATTGGTGGATCGCGCAAATCGCGGAACTCCCCCATCCCTGGGCTTGCGTGGCCAGGACGGCAAGTGGGTTAATATCCACCTGTACGGGGAGCGAGTGTTGCACGCGTGGATTTTCACCGTGCAGTCTGGTGTCTTCTCATGTGTATGAACACTCGTTCGTGGAGTTGGCCAAGATATCTCGGTGTAGGACCCACAGAGCTTGGGCAATAGACGGTGTCAGTTCTGACTGACTTCCACGTTTGGCAACGATTAAATCAAAACGGGGGCTTAAGATGCAAATTGTATGAAATTATGTTGCATAAAAAAAATGCTTCTATTATTATTATTATTGCTGTTTGATGCTCATAATTTTTTCTATAATTGCAGCCTGAACACTACTCATACCCCTCCATATTTATTTATGGCAACACGTCGACCGGGAAGACCCATGTCATGCAGACGCTTTTGAGAGAACTTCAGGTATGGTTCCGACTGATCACGGCAGAAGCCGGCTCGGTTTATCGACTCGTGATCTGAAGGACCGCGAGTTCGAATCCCCGGTCAGGGTTTCGACTTTATGATTCTGCACAGAAACGTCCTTCTGCTACCTTGGTGTTCCTTAGTGATTCTACCACATCTATAAACTAAAACTATTTTAAATTTCACCAGGTAAGGCCCACTGAGCTATGTAGTTCTTTTTCAAAGGCGACCTGGCCACAAATGATAGCTCAACGAAGTGGCTTATCATGTGGACATTTATAGCAGCCAAATACTCTAAACGCATTTTGATTCTAAATGTGGAGGGAAAATCCGAAGGACCCAGAGAAAAATCCACGCGACCTCGGGGAGAGAGAGACACGCAAACTCCAAATATACAGCAAGTGTAAGGGTCGGTATCAAACCCACAACATCCTGTATACCAGGCGAGTTAGTTAACATCTCGTCATCATGGTGCGTTTTTCCCTTTTGGTAATCTGGCTGAACCATGGCCGCATGACTTCATATTTCCTGACTAAAATGCAGACGAATTCCACATTACCACATCAAAAGCAATATGTATGATTCCACTGCTCCACAACCACAGGTACGGTACAAATTCCGGTCTGCGTTCCGTGTTTAACCGAACGCCGCTGCCACCGCTCTATTTCTCTCTCTGTGCCGCCAGCTGCCGCACGCGTGGGTGAGCTGCGTGGAGTGCGTGTCGCCGCGCCTGCTTTTCGAGCACGTGCTGGACCAGCTGGTGGGGCTGTGCCCCGACAGAGCCAACTCCGCCCACCAGCGCTGCGACAACCTCAGCATCTTCACCAGGGCCTTCCGCACCGCCGCCACGGCCGCCCAGCACCGCCTGCGCGGGCGCACGGTCTACGTGGTGCGTGGACGAAGCTCGCATCTCATGATGGCGTGTGTTCGGTGTCATGTTCGTCGTCATAAGCATCGTCAGCAGCAGCAGCCTCACTGTCGGCAGCAGTACCGAACACAGGGGCAGTTGGTCTTTGTCGTACGTGGCCATAGTTTGCTTCTTACCCGCACTTGCCAGCAATGTCTATCATGGTCATCATCATTGTCTATCATTGTCGTCATCATCACTACCAATGTATATCATGGTCATCATCATCACCAATGTCTATCACGGTCACCATCATCATCGTCATCATCAATATCATCATCATCATCATCGCCAATGTCAGCTGCAGCAGCTCGTGCTGCCGCTATGAAAAAGGGACGACGCACGTTGACTCGCCGGCGCGATTCCTTCCTGTGCAGGTGCTGGACAAGGCTGAGTACGTACGGGACATGGACTACAGTCTGCTTGGTGCGTTCCTCAGGCTGCAGGAGCTGGTGAGTCCGCCGCACTCGTCACCGCCGACGTCATCGCCGCCGCGTTGGTACGCTCCGCACGTCGCCAACCCTTGTGAATTGTGCGCGAGGGCACGGGGTCGGAAACCTGCGGCTACGGAACCGCACGCGGCTCTTTAAGGACTGCTGGTTTCGTGACGTCATTTAACGAGGACGCCACCGTCTCTCGTATTCACCGCACGGTGCATTGCGGCTCTTTGATATATTGAGTTTCTTTACGAATTGGGAAAAAAATGGCTCTCCTCGTTTATTTTTGTTGCCAACCCCAGCGCTCTGTTATGGCCAAGTATCTAAACCCTTTTACAGCTCGCGACGGTGGCTAGGAGATGTTACCTACCTCGCCTGGTATGTATACAGGAGAACGTGGGTTCGATCCCAACGCTGTTCGTCTGCTGTATATTTGGAGTTTGCGTGTCTCTCTCCCCGTGGTCGCATGCATGGAGTTTTCTCCGAGACCTCCGGTTTTCCCCTCCAAATTTCGGTCTCGAGGGCAGTGCACACATCTTCCAAGCATGTTGGCATTTGTTTTCCACAAGTGTGTGTGTGGTTACTGTAAACTGTCATCCTCTACGATACCAGAGAGGGTGCTTTTTAAAAAAATCGCACCTCTGATTGGCACGGTTGGCTACGTGCGGTTAGAAAGAAGTTTAACATACAGTCATGGGGCATACATCAAAAGCCTAGCGCTTACATCGGTAGCGTTGGCAAAGGCGATGCTAATGGAGCGCTTTCAGGCTTCTAAACTAAACTATAAACTATTTAACATTTTTTTTATTCTACCAGGTAAGACCCCACTGAGCTATGTAGCTCTTTTTCCGAAGCGACCTGGCCACAAATAACTCAAAGAAGTGGCTTATCACGTGGAGATTTATAGCAGCAAAATCCTCTTAAATGTGTGATGTTGATTCTAAATGTGGAGGGACCCGGAGAAAAGTCCATGCAACCACGGGGAGAGAGAGAGACACCCAAACAGCAAGCATCAGGGTCGGGGGATTGAACCCAAGACCTCCTGTATACCAGGTGAGGTAGTTAACATCTTGCCACCACAACCCCCCAATGACTGCACAGGGCTTCTAGCCAACCATGGCAATAGGAGGTGCGGGCCTCTAGCCCTGCGCAGTCACAGGGCTTCTGTGCGGTCAGAGGTCACCAGGCTGTGCGGTCAGAGGTCACAGCGCTGCTGTGTGGTCATAGGTCGCCAGGCTGTGCGGTCAGAGGTCACGGCTTCTGTGCGGTGAGAGGTCACAGGGCTTCTGTGTGGTCAGAGGTCACAGGGCTTGTGCGGTCACAGGTCACGGCTTCTGTGCGGTGAGAGGTCACAGGACCTCTGTGCGGTCAGAGGTCACAGGGCTTCTAGCTTCTAGCTCTGTGCCGACGTGCCACGACCAGGACGGCGTAACCACGTCACCCCTCCACCGTCCCGCCGATCCGTGCCGCGCAGACCGAGTGCAACGTGACGGTGGTGCTGCTCAGCGAGCTCGTGTGGGAGAATTTCCGCGGGGATACTGGTTTCTACGAGCCCATCACCCTGCACTTCCCCGTCTACACCAAAGGTGTCGCCCCACCAATAGACGTCTTCACGATTGCCGTGCCGCAGTACGTTTGTCTCGTTTGTGCAGTGCCTCGGTCGCACCGTCTGATTTGTACCGTCCCGTTTGTAGCGTGTCGTCGTGTCTCACCCCACACTTGTATCTCACCACGCGATCGTCGTGTCTCACCTCGCGATCGTCGTGTATCGCCCCACGCTCATCTCCTTGCCTTCAGGGGAGCTGCAGCAGATCCTGTGCAGAGACCAGCCCCCGGAGGTGACCTCTGACCTGTACACCACCTACGTGAACATCCTGCTGGGCGTGTTCCACACAGTGTGCCGCGACCTGCGCGAGCTGAAGCACCTCGTGAGCAATGCATCTCCTGCACACAGCCAAACGCCAAACACCAGCGGCAAACACCACCAAACAACGGCAAACACCACCAAACTACGGCAAACACCACCAAACAACGGCAAACACCACAAAACAACGGCAAACACCACCAAACAACGGCAAACACCACCAAACAACGGCAAACACCACCAAACAACGGCAAACACCACCAAACAACGGCAAACACCACCAAACAACGGCAAACACCACCAAACAACGGCAAACACCACCAAACAACGGCAAACACCGCCACTGTCGTCGTCGTCATCATCGTCATTGTCGTCATCGTCGTCGTTGTCGTCATCATTGTCATCGTCGTCATCGTCGTCATTGTCGTCATTGTCGTCATCGTCGTCATTGTCGTCATTGTCGTCATCGTCATCATCATCGTTATCGTAGTAATAGTCACGAGCGTAACAACTACTCTCTATCCTTGCCACAGGCCGCCTTAAACTTCCAGAAGTTCTGCGAGCCCCTGCAGAAGGGTGAAGGTGAGAGAGCCCCGAGTGCACGAGAGCCAGGTGCATGAGCCCTGCCCCCCCACCCCACCCCCCACCCACTCTTCCCGCACCGGGGTACGGTAGGTACCAACGCCGGTCTGCTCCTCCGTTCTGCGGTTAACCGGACACCACGGCCGCTGACGCATGCTCCCATTGGCGGGCGAGTGGGCTGGCGAGCGGGTGAGCGGGCAAGCTGCTCACGTGACGGAACGTTTTATGTAACGCTCGCCGTTTGTGAAATGCTGGAGGATTTGGAAGGAAGGAAATAGTGAGGCGATATCTGCGGCCGCCTGGAACGCCCTTCCGATATTAGGAAGCCACTGGGAGCTATGCACTTTTAAATCATACAGATTGAAAAGCGATTTATTTAGAACTGATTTTTGTGTTTAGTTTGTTGTTATCCTTCCCGTGCACCTCCGATTAGCGTGGTTGGCTACGTACTGTGCGAAAGAAGTTTGACATATGTACGTACCTAACCAGCCCCCCCAAACCCCCCTGGGGATAAGTGGATGGATTTGCCGCACGCCTCTTTCGCGGATAACGGGGATGCCGTTCCGCAAAAGACTTATCTGAAGTCACCAATAATAATAATAATGGGTTTTCCCGGAGCCCTCCAGCTGCCGCCAATAGGAGTCGCGGATAATGTGGCGCGGTGGATAAGAGGGGGGAAAGCCGTGGCGATCATCGCATGTCAGCGTCGCACGTGCCGGCCATTGTCGTCACCGAATTGCGTCCGCCCCCCCTCGCCCCCCCCCCCCCCCGCGCCACCCGCCCCCCCCCCCGCGCCACCCGCCCCCCCCGCCCCCCCTCGCCCCCCCCCCCCCCCCCCCCCGCCTCCCCCGGGCGTCGTTGCAGCCACGGCGACGGACGTGCACAAGCTGTGGCGGAACATCGAGCCGCACCTCAAGAAAGCCATGCAGACCGTGCACCTGCGGGAGGTCTCCAGGTGCGGCAGCCAACGCAGGGGAGGGGGGGGGGGTCCCGGCTGTGGGCTGGCCCACAGCCGGGACCCCCCCCCCCTCCCCCGCACGCAGGCGGGCAGCAACCGACTGCCTACCTGTGGATGTGAAACGCTCGTTGACTGGCTGAAAACATCTTGATATGTGGGGCACCGCAGAGCTTGGGCAGTTGTTGGCAGCGCCGGCTCGCCCCCACCGCCACGGCGGGCGCGGAGTTACGAGCTGAGAGATTGCCTTCACTTTTCGCAACTTCCCGTGCCCGTCCAACGCTCTCGCTCATCGTTAACCACCCACCGCCGCTTTCGCCGTCGTTTATTTGACCCATCGTCATATTGGTGAAGGCGCTGAACACGTTTTTTGTTGTTGTTACGGCGGAATAGCTGTGATGAGACGAGTTGATGAGAAGCACGGCCCGTGCTATGTACGAATTAAAATAAGATCAGAAGGTGATTGCTTTGCAGCTCGAAATGAGCATCGAGACATCCGGAGCTCCTCTCCTGTTGTACAGCCCTGCAGAGGCAGCGGTGGAAATTCCACATTCCTGCGGTTGAGTCTCGTCTCTCCACAGGAGAACTGCTGTTGACTTTCCCCACAAAGTGGTGCGCTCTGTTTTATTGACCCCGGAGGCACGATGGGTTTGGTGGAGTCAGCCTCCAGCCACAATTTGAACTCCCGACCTTCCCATGAGCTTCGCGTGTCGAGTTTTACCGAACCAATGATAATTGCCGCGTCAAACCCTCGCACACACGTGGCTATGTAATTTAGTTTGGCTGTGTTGGGTGGTGGAGGCTCTTGCGAGAGTTAGCCGCGTCATTTCTTGTCCTTAACCCAAATATCATGAAGCTTCCTATCGTGAGCCTTCCTATCGTAAACCTTACTCACTCGTGCGAGCCTACCGATTGTGACCCTTACTATGGGTGAGCCCGCTCTAGGGACCCCTTGACTTGTCTACAAACCCACACAGGGTTCCCTGGATAGACCTCTTTCCGTGAGCCCATGGCCTAACTACACTCACCTAAGAGGCCTTTATATTTGCCCACACACATATATATATAAACACAACACACACACACTCGTGGACCCAACCTCTGAATTGTCAGAGGGCTGGTGAACCTAGCATGAGATGCTGCATGCTCAATTTCTCGTGTGATTGCTCGCTAACGCTGTCGCTTGCACGCCGCCGTGTGTACCCTGTTGTGATCAGCGCACAGTGGGAGAAGATACAGCAGCAGCAGGAGGATGCGACGCAGATCAAGGGTACGTATTGCGCTCGCACCTCCCGGCTACCACGCGGTTGGCTACGTACGGCGCGAAAGACGTTCAACGTACACGCATGCACACGCGCATCCCCTGGCGACGCCGGTCGTTTGCAATCGCCAGCGAAACGTCAAACTCAAATCGTGCAACGGCGCGGCTTGGCTCTCTTAAACGCCTCCGGCGTGCTGAAGCGGCAACCCGTTTGGCACGTTCTGCTCGCGTGACAAACCTTTGCCAGTTGGCGGGGGGGAGGAGGAGGTGGGTTTAATGGCGGCGGCGGTGGCGGTGGTTGCTCTCCGCGCTCAGGCCCGTCGGCGCACGCTCACGTGGAGCTGCCGTTCTACTCCAAGTTCCTGCTGATCGCCGCGTACCTGGCCTCCTACAACCCGGCCCGGACAGACCGACGGTTCTTCGTGAAGGTGCGGCTCACAATCAGAGTCTTTATTTATCGTGGAGAAATCCGGTGAGCTGCGAGGGTGCCACGGTGGCTAGGAGATGTCAGCTACCTCGCCCGGTATGCAGGAGGTCGTGGGTTCGATCCCAACCCTGACCCCGGTATATTTGGAGTTTGCGTGTCTCTCTCCCCGTGGTCGAGTGGATGTTTCTCCGTGTCCTCCGGTTTTTCCCCTCCACATTTATATTCAACATCGCGTGTTTAGAGTATTGCCTGCTATATATTACCACGTGATAAGCCACTTCGTTGAGCTATCATTTGTGGCCAGGTCGCCTCTGATAAAGAGCCATGTAGCTCAGTATGCCTTTCCTGGTAAAATAGAAATAGGAAATAGCAGGTAGGGCTCACTGGGCTATGTAGCCCTTTTTCAAAAGTGACCTGGCTATCGCAAATTATAGTTAAATTAAGTGGCTTACCATTGTGGAAATTTCTAGCAGCCAAATACTCTAAATGCACGTCGATTCTAAATGTGGAGGGAAAAGCCGGAACACCCGGAGAAAAATCCTCGCGAGAACAGGAAGAGAGACACGCAAACTCCAAATATACAGCAGGCGTCAGGGTGGTGATCGAACCCACGACTTCTCGCACACGAGGCGAGGTAGTTAACATCTCCTAGCCACCGCGGGGTGTGGATGCGTCACAGGAGACCTGATATCCACGACCGCACCTCACGGCTGTCGAGCCGCTATGTCCCATCATCAAGCCGGTGCTGTCCGATTGCCCTGCCACGAGAATTTACCGTAAATTTACCGTGAAGGTTGGTGAAGCGGTGGAGAGGGAGGAGTGGACATTCCCAGTTTTGATATCAAACTCGGATCGCCGGGTTCGGGTGCTTAGTGCGGCGCTTTAACCACTTGATCACGTTGACGATGTTGACGATGTTGACTGTTGACTACTTTGACGATGCCTTCTTTTAGCCCCGCCCCCCTCCCTCCCGATACGTTCCATTCATTGGCTACCACATTCTGATAAGCTCTCCCCCCCCACTCTCCTCCCCCCCCCCAACTTGTATTTAAGGGCTTGCATCTTGAATCCTTGCCTCACTTGATGCAGCAAATCTGGCTGTGACGGTCCCACCTGATGACGGAGACTTGTGTTGCCTCCAAAAAGTCGTGATTTTATTGTTTTATTTTTATTAATTTTAATTTCATTTTTTACCTACGTGACTTTACCGAAAGAACTAAGAGTATGAATCCTTGCAGTCACGAAAGCTTCAAATCTAGAATTGATGTTGACTACGTTGACGATGTTGACGATGTTGACTGTTGACTACGTTGACGATGTTGCTGCTGCTGCTGCTGTTTCAGTTCTCCGAGAAGAAGAAGAAGACGTTTGTGAGGCGTGAGAAGGTGAGGGCTCTTCGTGTCGTCCCGTACCCTCCTCGCCTCCTCCGCACATCACACGTTGCAGCCCGGGAAGTTCAAGCGTCGGGGAGACGATGAGCCGGCACCTGGGTTCGAAATAGCGGGTTTCAGCCGCCCGTCATTGAACCGGGTTTTCGGGGTTTATAGCGGCGAGTCCATGCTCTCCACGGATCGCTCGCCCAAGTGACTGCTGCGCAAAATAAAAAAGAACCCGCGAGCACGTTCAGTTTGGTCGCGCGCTTATTTGGCTGAAGTGCTGAATCGTCGGATTGGCACCGCACGTATCTCCCGAAAATCTCTCCCATCGCACGGTGGCATGTCGCTTGCACGTAGTGCCAGGTCGCGCCGACGACGTCACGCCTACGTCACGCCTACGTCACGCCTACGTCACGCCTCCCCCCACCCCCCCACCCAGGACTTGTACCCCGCGCGGGGAAGTGCTCGCGAAGCCAAAATAGAGTGTGCAACGTTAACTGGCATTAGCCAACACATCCCAATGCTGCACGTCGTGGCAACGTCACCCCTCCCACCCGTCCCACCCGCCCCCGAATAACTTGGCAGGACCCTCCTGAAAACTAGGTTTTGAAACTCGCAAAACAAACGCGACGTGGACTATCGCCGCCCCAACCGCTAACCGCCCTACCACCACCACCAACCATGTCCTCCTTCCTACCTCCCAGACCAGCAACCACCTCATTGGGCCCAAGGCCTTCCCGATGGACCGCATGATGGCCATCTTCTACAGCATCGTGGACGGACGTGTGGCGCCCACCGCCAGCATCTTCTCCCAGGTACGGCGTCCCTGCGGTTCCGTACCGGGGGGTGCGTACGGCACAGCTGGCAGGCCAGTCCACTCAGGGAGCCTTCCATTTAGACGGTGGGGAGATGGGGAGGGGGATTCCTCAGAAATCATCGTCGTTTTCATCGTCATCACCTGTCAGATTAAGGTATCCCAAAGCGGTCGCCCCCCCCCCATATCTCTGATTAGCACAGTTTGCTACGTTTGGTGCGAAAGAAGTTCCAAAGACAAAGATCCCCCATATAAAGCTTTCGTGACTGCAGGAATTCATATTCTTTGGGTCTTTCGGTAAAGTGACGTAGAACAAAAATAATTAACAAATTAATAAAAATCCAATAAAATAAACTACGGCGTTTCTGATGACGATTGCTTGTGTTGCGATGATCAAAACGTCGTAGTTGTTAATTTTTTTGTTCTACGTGACTTTACCGAAAGACCCAAAGAATATGAATCCCCCATATACCTTGAACACACTGTTGGGGCAAGTGCTGTTAGCGAGCACCTATGAAGGCCGACACGGTACACGAGGGGTTGGTTGGACAGCACCACGCCCGACCGCATTTGTCTCCCCAGTGGCGATGTTTACACACCGCACCAGGTACTCATTTGAGGCTCAGTCGACCTTGGGGAGGAGGCCCAGGACCGGTTCAGATAATCGTCACTGGTGTTGGCCGTGAGAATCGAACTTGGCTTGCCGGGTTCGTAGCGCAGCGCGCTAATCACTGCTGCACCCCTCCCCACATACACACATATACAGAGTGCTGATGGGACTATCGTTTTTAATGGAAAAAGAACGGATAATATACCGTAACATGATAACAAATGCAATGTTAATAGCTTAAAAAAGTCAGTGTCCACTTGTTCGCCATCATTGTCAACGTGTGGTCTGGAATCTTCTCCAGGTGGTCTCCAGAGCCCGGAGGCACATTTCTTGTGGCATTGTTGCAAATTCTTAGAAGTGTTCGCATTTTTTGCTAGCATCCTGTACATACATTTCTCGGGGTCTCGAGATGCAGTGATCCCGTCTAGCTCCCGCGTACGGGCCGAGTTAATCGCTCCATCTCTGTGGCGGACGTCGCCCCACGGGCGTCTCGTCTCCTTTGGCTGACGCTCTGTCCTCATCCGTTGTCGTGAAGTGGGCGGGGTGGGCAGGACAAAGGGGCAGTTGCTCTACGCTCCGAATGGATGTCCTCACCCCGTGGCGCGACACCGATAGCACAAATCGGCGTACAAACAACTTCTCGCGCTCACGATGGACGCGTCGGTTTTTATTTTAAGAATTGCCACTTTTGGACCGTCGCCTCTGCGGGAGGGCTCGTGCGAGTGAGAGCGCCGCTTGAGGGGTTCTCGGGAGTAGTTCTGCGACGTCCAGTTCTGCGGGCGGCTCGTTCTCTGCGAGAGAGTTTTTTTTTTCCGTCCGTGCGCGCCCCTCCCTCCTCCCCCAGATCTCGTCGCTGGTGAGCCTGCAGCTGCTGACGCTCGTGCGTCACAGCGACCAGATCGACAGCCCCAAGTACAAGTGCACCGCGTCGCTCGACTTCATCCGCGCCATTGCCAGGTACAGCGCCCGCCGGCGACCGCGACGGACGCAGCTCTCTCGCGCCCACGCACGTGCGCAGCCGTTCCCCCGCGCTTTGTCGGGCGCGCATAGCATTCGTCAACGAGCCATTGGTCGTCGTTATTTGGACGGCAGGGTGGCGCGGCGGCATCACTTGTCGCCCCCAGCAGGAAGGAGGCCTGGGTTTGATCCCGGGCTCGGGCGCCTCTCTGCGTGGAGTGTTTGTCTTCTCCCCCTGTTTTGCATGTGTTTCCTCCGGGTTGTCCCGGATTCCTCCCGTAGCTAAAAAAGAAAGGCGCACATCGTTGTAACTGGTATTGGGCCAAAACATCGCAATGCTAAACCATGTACCTCCAAAATATTCGATTGGGATTTCACACGGCAGCAGCAGCAGCAGCAGCAGCAGCGTCGCCCCCCTACTGTGAAAGCTTGGCAAGTAGAATCATAACGGTAATAATAATGAGTTTGAGGGAGATGTCTTGATGGCACGCACGTTTGTCAAATTGTTCCCCCTTTCCAGGACGGTGAACTTCGACGTGGTGCGGTACCTCTTCGACTTCGTGTGAGGACGACGGCGGGCGGGGCGAAGGGGAGCCGCCGTCGGACACAGCACGGTGGGGGGGGCGGGGGCGGAGAAGTCAAGCTCGACCGATCTCGCTCACTCGCTCCGGGGAGTCCGCCGACAGACCGACCACAATGCGGCATCTCTCCCTCGCCGCGTCCGTCCGTCCTGACGGTGTTGCAGCGCGCGGTCGCAATGTGTGCGTGCGTGCGAATGCATCCGCTCTATAAACTGTTTGGGGGGGACGAGAACCTCCGGTCGCGCTGCGTCGACGCCGCGGTGCTGGCTCGCCTCGCACGGCCGTCGTGCGGGTCGGGTGTAAAGGAGCGGGAGCTGGAGGACGAGGAGGGTGCAGACCAAACAATAGGAGGCTCTTATCTTGTTGCCGTGTACACCTGGGCCCTGTGCTCCAGGCTCGTCCGACGCCAGTTTGAAGTCATACTCTTAGTTCTTTGGGTAAAGTCACGTAGGTAAAAAATGAAATTAAAATTAATAAAAATAAAATAATAAATCACGACGTTTCGGAGGCAACACAAGTCTCCGTCATCAGATGGTACCGTCACAGCCAGATTTGCTGCCGCTTGATGCAGCAAATCTGGCTATGACGGTTCCACCTGATGATGGAGACTTGTGTTGCCTCCGAAACGTCGTGATTTTTTATTTTATTAATTTTAATTTCATTTTTTACCTACGTGACTTTACCCAAAGAACTAAGAGTATGAATCTTTGCAGTCACGAAAGCTTCAAATCTAGAATTAAGTTTGAAGTCACTTTGGCGGAGAGGTCTCGCGACGCACCTGACCGCAACGTCACGCGCTTGGTCTCGCGTCGGAAGCTTCCGACTTGCGCCTGGCAGCCATGGGACATAGCATGAGTGTAGCGACAAGATGCGAGCTGGGGGGGGGTCTCTTTTTTGTTTGGTTTTACTGCGCCGTTTTTTTTAACAATCGCCTGCGCGTTGGTATCGCATTTCGTAATAAACGACCATTTTGCAGAATTTTTCTCCACGAGCCGCTTTTATTTCAGACGGTGATGTACGTTCAGAAATTCCACATTTTTTTAATGTTATTTTGATATCGGTTTTTTTTATTACCATCATCGGCCGGGGCGTGATGACAGCTGCATCCTCTGGCCACCGCACCCACTTCAAGCGGTCAGCTGCCGGGAAAACGATTTCAACCGTGGGCGGCTTACCCCTGGAGTCTGTACGGTCGGCGGGTATTGCAGTTGGGGGGAGGTGTGTGGGGGGGGGGGAGGTGCGTGGGGGGGGGAGGTGCGTGGGGGGGGGAGGTGCGTGGGGGGGGGAGGTGCGTGGGGGGGGGAGGTGCGTGGGGGGGAGGTGCGTGGGGGGCGGTGCGTGGGGGGGAGGTGCGTGGGGGGGGGGAGGTCCGTGGGGGGGGGGGGGGAGGTGCGTGGGGGGGGAGATGCGTGGAGGGGGGGGGAGGTCCGTGGGGGGGGGGGAGATGCGTGGGAGGGGGAGGTGCGTGGGGGGAGAGGTGCGTGGGGGGGGGGGGATGTGCGTGGGAGGGGAGGTGCGTGGAGGGGGAATGTGCGTGGGAGGGGTGACCGCCGCTCGTTTTTCTCGTAACTTCTCGGCCGCCCCCGCCGCTCTTATCCCAGAGCGTCCAGGAGGTCGAAGTCCGTGAGCGTGGGGTCAGAGGGCGCGGGAGACAGCACGTGCGAAATGTCCGTCACGTCCAGCCCCAGGTGCTCGGTGATTTTGCCGTTCCGGTCGGCGGCCGCCGCGGCGTCCCCACCGCCGGGGCTTGAGACGGAACCGCCCGTTGAGGCGCCCTCGGTGCTGGCGGTGGAGACCGCCTCCTGCCGACAGCGCCACCGGTTAGCGCGGTGGGCTACGCGCGGTGCGAAAGAAGTTCTACGTACGTACGGCGGCGGTGGCGGCATCTCATGGTCACGCCCTGCGACAGCCGCCATCCACCCAACCCTCCCCCTGCCGCCTCAAGGATCGCAGGTGAAAGGTCAGGTTAAAGGGGGAGGGGGGGGTCATCACGAGGATGCAGGGTGGCTCGGAGGTCACAGTGCTGAGCCCGCACTGCCGAGAGCCTGGGATCAAATACGGGTTTTGCCCGCCGCCCACGACTGAACCGAGGTTTATCAAGCGCAGTGAGTTGATGATGGGCTTAACCAGGTCACCAATGACTTAAACTAAACTATTTTTATTTTACCAGGCAAGGGCCCACTCTTTTTCAGAAGCAACCTGGCTATCACAAATGATAGCTCAATGAAGTACATTTATTGCAGCCAAATACTCTAAAAGCACATCGATTTTAAATGTGGAGGGGAAAAACCGCAGGACCTGGAGAAAAATCCACACGACGACCACAGGGAGAACTTACAAACTCCAAATATGCAGCAGGCGTCCAGATCGGGATCGAGCCCACGACCTCCTGTATATCAGGCGAGGTAGTTAACATCCCGCCACGAGCATCCAAAATAGAGAACCCATTGATTTTGTACTGAGTTGTGACTCATATAGAGACCCATAGACTCACACAGAGACCCATAGATTCGCACAGAGATCCATCGACTCAGGCAGATCCAAAGACTCACACAGAGACCCACACAGAGACCCATAGACTTACGACGAGACCCAGAGAACTGCATGGAAACCGAGAGACTCGCACGCGCACTGTGTCGTGGTCAAACTTTGTTCCCGAGTGCGCTATAAGAATGGCGCCGATGTGTATTCAATTAGGGTTATTGTCCTAAAGCCCCCACCGGCTGTGCTGAACGACCGTGTGAACACTGGCTGCGCTCGTACCGATCTGCTGATGAGCTGCGTCTCGTTGTCTCTTGACACGTTGCAGGCGATGGCGATCTGAGACAGCCGACGCTGAGCGTTGCGCTTCTGTTGCACCGTGCAGATTCCGGAAGTCTGGAACACAATGTGCCCTGTTTTACTGGATCCACAACCCCCAGGTTGGCCACTCGGGGGGGGAGGGGGGGGGAAGCACAATGACCCGGCCAGCACACTTCTACACTGACACCCACATCGAGAGTTCGGAACCGGCTCTGTGATATCCGGTTCCACGACACTGCAGCGTCTCGGCGGCGATCCCCGCTGCGCGAGGGTTCCGAGCGGATCCTTCGTATCGTCAACGCCGACGCCGTCGGCTGTGGCAAAACGCCGCGGTCAAATTCGTGGCGGAGCTGTTAGCTCGTTGCTCGCGGTACTCGCAGTCCGACATTTGGGCTATGCTGCGAGATCGCATCTGGAACTCTACGCGACTGCTGCGTCGAGAGAGAAGGAGAGCGATGAGATAAAGCGGCGAGGGGGAATGCGATGCGAGAAGGTGATGAGATAAAGGGATGAGATATTTTCATATTTATTTCTATTCTGTAATATTTTCTATTTACCAATAAAAAAACATGCGCGTGTTATAATGTTCACGTATTTAATATCTTATTTCCGTATTTAGTTTAGGTAATTCATTTAATGAGAGGTTTTTTTTCGTAGGACGATTATTATCCGCAAAATTTGCTCTCCACGAGTATCTCCGGCACGAGGGAACGCTGCAAAAAAAACCATCCCAACAAAAAAAAACATCCCAACAAAAAATAAACATCCCAACAAAAAAAAACATCCCAACACAAAAAAACATCCCAACAAAAAAAAAAACATCCCAACAAAAAAAAAACATCCCAAAAAAAAAAAACATCCCAACAAAAAAAAACATCCCAACAAAAAAAAACCATCCCAACTACAAAAAACAAAAAACATCCCAATAAAAAAAACATCCCAACAAAAAAAAAAACATCCCAACAAAAAAAAAAAACATCCCAACAATTTTTTTTTTTTATAAAAAGTCCCAGCCAGAGAGACCTCCTTACCAGGTGTTCTCCCGTGCTGAACTCGCACGCGGGCTTCACGCTGTCCTGCGGCGTCTCGCACCTCCCCTGCAGCACCGTGAACCTCACGTGTGTCACGTCTCCCACGGCCGTCTAGACGCGCACGCAACAAGCAAGCAACAAAAATCCTCCTCCGACCGCGTGGTCTTCGCAGGCTGCTGGGGGCAAGTGCCGTTAGCGCGCAGCACCGCCTACGAAGGCCGCCATGGCATCTTCTTGGTTCTTTCGGTAAAGTCACGTAAAAGGGAAATAATAAAATAATAAAAATTTTTACATAATAAAATTATTCTCACGACGTTTCGGCCACAACGCAAGCAGCCGTCCTCAGGTGAAGAACAGGTCTGTCGGGAAGACAGCGTCTGAATGGGCACCACCAGGCTTGGCAGCGTATATTTAAAATAGAGAGCCATTGATTTTATACTGAGTTGTGACTCATATAGAGACCCATAGATTCGCACAGAGACCCATCGACTCAGGCAATCACCTTTGAATCGTCACGCGTACAGGTGTCTGACGTGCCACTTGTACAAACAACAACTAACAATAAGTGAAACGATGACAATTGGCACGTCATAAACGCTCGTACAAGCGACGGTATAATTTGTTGCACTAATGACTTAAGTGGTGGGTTTCACGACGTAAATTTTGGAAATTTGTTTGACGTCACCGCTGCTTTGCCAGTGGTGCGCAAGCACAAATAACTACACTGTGCGTGGGAGTGGGGGTGACGTTTCGGGCAATGGGCCTTCTTCATAGCACACAATTTTTAGTTGGGTCATAACGACATCTAACCCCAAAAAATCTCGTCAGTCGCCTTGTGCAAACGGTTAAAAAAATTCAGAAAAACGATGTCAAATCGTCTTTGAAGATCCCGGCATCCCAAACATTTTCTATCCGGATCTCATCCCTGAATCGTAGCGCCGTACTCCGCCTGGTCCACGTCCTACCCCCCCCCACTTGTGCCCTTTGTTCGCGGGCGGCCGCGTGTCGTACATGCCGCTCGGCTGACAGGACGACCGCGGGCGCCAGCGGAGGGAGGCTGGCGTTGGCGGCGGTGGCGTTGAGGACGGGCAGCGCGGTGCGGATGACGAGCCACGCGGCCGGGTCGTCGTGGTGGATCGGCACGGGGCAGCCCGTGCACGGGGCGCTCGCTGCGGGCACTGCGCAAGAGCGGAACACGCGGGCGGGAGGGGTGCGGTGAGACGCACTCGTCAGCCGGTCGCCTCCGCGTCACTCCGCTACGGCCGCTGTGATGGTTGCTGTCCGCGTGAACTTCACTCGCTCGCCCATCGTCCTACTGTGTACGCAAAGGTTAATTTCTTTCACGCCGTACATAAGCAAACCGTGTTGCCATCCACTCGTCCATCCGTCCAACCGAATCGCCCAACTTATATTCTGGTCGCTGCTCCCGTAGCAACCGTTCGTGTGAACTCCACATGCACGCACGCCCACTCTCTCGCCCGATCGCTCACCCACTCACCCGTCCATCCAGTCACTCACTAACCCATTCACCTACTCACTCACCCACCCACCCGTCCATCCAGTCACTCACTAACCCACTCACCTACTCACTCACCCACCCACCCCTCCATCCAGTCACTCGCTAACCCACTCACCTACT